GATGGATGCCAGCTCCATGGGATGGGGCGCTGTGTGATAACGCAGAGCGGTTCAGGGCAGCTGAGGTCAAAGGACCGTTCCAACCAAATAAAGGCGCTGGAGCTTCGTGCAGTGCATTTAGCACTTGGGTACTTCCTGCCCCACCTGGAAGGGGAGCATGTTCTCATTCGGTCAGACAACACCTCTGTTGTCTACCATATCAACCATCAGGGGGGCACCAAGTCAGCACAGCTTCTGAGAGTGTCCAGAGAGCCCTTGGAATAGGCCTCTCCTCACCTGTCCACCCTGCGGGCGTACTTACCAGGGCGACACAGTCAGATCGCAGACTTTTCTTACGTTTGGGTCTTCTTTGGGAGAGTGGTCCCTCCACAGCGACAAAGTGCTGATGATCTGGGACCGTTTTGGTCAGGCAGAGGTAGACCTGTTTGCAGCACAGGAGTCGACTCAGTGTCCCCCCTATGGTACTCCCCTACTGGGGTGTAAAGTGCGCTAGGCCAGGACGCATATGCCCATCCTTGGCCAAGGGACCTCCTACAGTGCCTTGCGAAAGTATTCGGCCTCCTTGAACTTTTCAACCTTTTGCCAAATTTCAGGCTTCAAACATAAAGATATAAAATTTTATTTTTTTGTGAAGAATCAACAACAAGTGGGACACAATCGTGAAGTGGAATGAAATTTTTTGCATGTGTCAAACTTTTTTAACAAATAAAAAACTGAAAAGTGGGACGTGCAATATTATTCGGCCCCCTTGCATTAATACTTTGTAGCACCGCCTTTTGCTGCAATTACAGCTGCAAGTCGCTTGGGGTACGTTTCTATCAGTTTTGCACATGGAGAGACTGAAATTCTTGCCCATTCTTCTTTGCAAAACAGCTCGAGCTCAGTGAGGTTGGATGGAGAGCGTTTGTGAACAGCAGTCTTCAGTTCTGGACTTTGACTTGGCCATTCCAACACCTGGATATGTTTATTTGTGAACCATTCCATTGTAGATTTGGCTTTATGTTTTGGATCATTGTCTTGTTGGAAGATAAATCTCTGTCCCAGTCTCAGGTCTCTTGCAGACTCAAACAGGTTTTCTTCCAGAATGGTCCTGTATTTGGCCCCATCCATCTTCCCATCAAATCTGACCATCTTCCCTGTCCCTGCTGACGAAAAGAAGGCCCAAACCATGATGCTGCCACCACCATGTTTGACAGTGGGGATGGTGTGTTCAGGGTGATGAGCTGTGTTGCTTTTACGCCAAACATATCGTTTTGCATTGTGACCAAACAGTTCGATTTTGGTTTCATGTGACCAGAGCACCTTCTTCCACATGTTTGGTGTGTCTCCCAGGTGCTTGTGGCAAACTTTATACAACACTTTTTATGGATATCTTTGAGAAATGGCTTTCTTCTTGCCACTCTTCCAAAAGGCTAGATTTGTGCAGTGTATGACTGAATGTTGTCCTATGGACAGACTCTCCCACCTCAGCTGTAGATCTCTGCAGTTCATCCAGAGTGATCATGGGCCTCTTGGCTGCATCTCTGATCAGTCTTCTCCTTGTTTGAGATGAAAGTTTAGAGGGACGGCCGGGTCTTGGTAGATTTGCAGTGGTCTGATACTCCTTTCATTTCAATATGATTGCTTTTACAGTGCTCCTTGGGATGTTTAAAGCTTGGGAAATCTTTTTATATCCAAATCCGGCTTTAAACTTCTCCACAACAGTATCTCGGACCTGCCCGGTGTGTTCCTTGGTCTTCATGATGCTCTCTGCGCTTTGAACAGAACCCTGAGACTATCACAGAGCAGGTGCATTTATACAGAGACTTGATTACACACAGGTGGATTCTATTTATCATCATCAGTCATTTGGGACAACATTGGATCATTCATAGATCCTCACTGAACTTCTGGAGTGAGTTTGCTGCACTGAAAGTAAAGGGGCCCAATAATATTGCACGCCCCACTTTTCAGTTTTTTATTTGTTAAAAAAGTTTGACACATCCAATAAATATCATTCCACTTCACGATTGTGTCCCACTTGTTGTTGATTATTCACAAAAAAATTAAATTTTATATCTTTATGTTTGAAGCCTGAAATTTGGAAAAGGTTGAAAAGTTCAAGGGGGGGCGAATACTTTCGCAAGGCAGTGTATCTGCCTTTCCATTTCTTTCTCTAATTTGGCCGACCCTTCAGGGAGTCCTCGAAGAAGGCCACAGGATGCTGCTGGTGGCTACGTATTGGCCAGCATGACCAGGGTTCCCACTGCTATGGAGTTTATGTCAGGGTGTCCCATGGTGTCTTCTGACCAGGAGGGAGTTGCTGTCTCAGTTGGGAGGACTGATATGGCACCCTAATCCTCAACGTCTTCGGCTGTGGGTGTGGCCACCGCAAGGCTAGGACAGCAGCTGACTGGAGTTTCGAGCCCCATCAGACGCACCATCCTGGGCACCGGGGCACCCTCTACTCGTCAGCAGTACGAAAACAGATGGGGTCAGTTTTCCCCATGGTGTTCTGATCACAATGAGGATCCAGTCTCCTGTACAGTACCCACCATTCTGGAGTTTCTCCAGTCTCTCCTTGGTAAGGGTTGCTCTCCTTCGACGCTTAACAGTTTATGTAGCGGCAATATCATCCAATCACGCCGGCATCAATGGCTTTACGGTGGGAAGCCATGATCTAGTCTCTCTTCTCTGCGTGGTGCTCATAGGCTGCACCCGCTGACAGCTCCATGAGCACCAGGTTAGGATCTGCCCTTGGTTCTCGAAGCTCTGTGCCGCCCTCCGTATGAACCTCTGACATCTGAGGGCTCTGACGTTACCTTGTGGCCTAACACTGCATTTGTACCAAAGGTGTTATCTCACTCTAACTGTAACCAACCGTTGAGACTGGCACGTTTTCAGCCTACACCTGGTGAGGGGTCTGGATTATTGTGCCTAGTGAGAGCACTGGAGGCAAACGTTGCAGTTACTGCCATTATACGATGTTCAGACCAGTTGTCTGTGTGTTACAGAGGCCCTACGTTAGGCTATCCTCTTTCTAAACAGCACCTCTTCCACTGGATCGTGGAGGTCATCTGCCTCGCCTATTCCGCAGGGCTCTGCCCCCTGCCGGTCGGCGTGAAGGCACATTCTACCAGGAACGTGTCCGCTTCCTGGGCTGCCCTGAGAGGAGTTCCGGTGGAAGCAATATGTGCTGCCGCATCATGGCCTTCCCCAAGCACGTCACCAGATTTTACAGCGTTAACGTGGCCACCCCTCATCCCCTGGGCCAAGGTCTTCTGCAAGGGTCCCCTGGGCCTCCTGAGTGAGGTGTGTGTTCAGGATTCCTTGTGACATCGTTGGTATTAGTCATTCAGTGCTTTAAGCACCGCCCTCTGGCGGTCAGGAGGGATGAAATAGAACGAAAGTTACGTATGTAACTAAGGTTCTATGAATCCCGGATGACCGCCAGAGCTTCTGTGTCACTCAGAATCCTTGCATTCTGCAAGAAGATTCTGTAGGAACAGAGCCGCGGACGATGCCAGCCTATATAGCCTCTGATTGGTCATCCGTGTCACACCTGTGACTCCGTTGGTATTATTACTCGAACAGCACATGCGCGAAGGGAACATTCAGTGCTTTCAGCACCGCCCTCTGGCGGTCATCTAGGATTCATAGAACCGTAGTTACATACGCAACTTTCGTTCGATGTGTTCCCACCGCTAGTTGGAACGACTCTCAGTCAAATTTAGCAGCACATTGACTAAAACCTGCAGTTTATCGGATCTTAGAAAGCCAAACCACTTCCACACCGCCAAATTAGTCTTTCCTCTCTTATCAGTTATGTCATTTGCTTTCTCTTTGCTTGTGAAACCTTGTTCAGTCACATTCTGACGGTCATGGGCACTCATTTAGAAGGGAAACATTAACGCACGTTGGAGATTAGCCTTGCCTAGCCTGCTACCACTAATGTCTTCTGGACTCGAGCTCTGCGTAACATCTGTCACCGCGCACTTATGTAGTTGTGTCATGGCTTTTTCTGTCTGGATTGAAACTGAAGCGACCACTTCAACCAAAACAGAAATTTATATGCGTCAGTGAAACGCTGTAATCCTATCGAAATATCAAAAATGTGTTTAAAACTCATATCACCATTATTGAATAAAAGTATATTGTCATATATCGATATCAAATTATTTTTCCAGCCCTACATTTTCCTCATCAAAATGCTGATGAAAATATCCAAGTCTTTGGTGGCCGCTTCATTTAAACCCAATCCTGACACCACCTATCAGTTATCAATAATTCTGCTGACTGAAGAAACATCCACAGCAGTGTTCTATGTATCATGTAGACACTTTTCTGTCTTCATTCCCATCAACACAACTTTAAGACCCTGTTCCGTATCAGTTACGTGACTAAGGCAGAATGTGGGGTTGAAGTTGTCCAACTGCTGTTACACCTCTGAATCAGAAAGAAAGGTAGTCACAGAGCTGAGCTGATTAGTATGTGTGCAACACTTTTTGCAATACTTAGTTGGCTTGACTGGCTTGCACACAAGTGACCCAAAGGTGGTTTTAAGAGGGCTTTGCAGCCATATTGTGGACACTTACAGTGGAAAGGACTTTGTTTGAGTTATAGTTTATGTCTATATTTTAGGCTCAGTGAGATTAACCTGTATAAATAAAGGTTGAATTAATATTTTATTGTTTTCCCAAATGTATAGTTTCCCTTCCCATGACCCTACAAGTACCTGTTGGTGCTGCCAGGCCAGCACTGTAATATGAATTTGTTCTTAGTGTTAATGCCTGCTTAAATCAAGGTTAAATGAAAAATGAAAACGAACAAAGTTTTAGTAGTGCATTTCTTTCATCAAATCTTAAATAAATTACCACACAACATAGTTTGTTTTTTCTTGTGGTTTTAAAGCCATAAGAACAGAGATAACCAACTCAATAACAATAAAAGTTGATAATATCTCTTAGGGATGTAGTGTTTTATCAGTAATAAATAAATAAACCTTGATGAAAACTTCTTACCACGTGCGAGCAGAGCCTCATGCGCTTGTTTTTCTTGCAACAGTTGCATCTCTCGTTCTTTGCGGCGGAAGGCATCCTGCTTTTCCCGGATGCGATGGCGCAGCTCTTCATCATCCGTGTCAGAAGATTCAGATCCCCGAGCACTGTGTGCATCCTCCTCATCGCTTTCGTCTGAACCATAATCACCAATCCCACCTGCCACAACAGAGCCCCCTGGTTGTTCAGTGTTGCCAGCGAGAAAGATGCTTTCTTACAAGCTTTCAAATACGAAACAATACCAACACAGAGTCCTTATGAAAGGCACTTAAATCTGCATAAGTATGTATTTTACATGAGCAATCCCTTTATAAGTAATGTACGCCTTAAACATATATAATAATGTGAAAACTAATTTAAGGCATGCTTGTGCAAAACTAAAATGCAAATTATTTGTCATATTTGCCTAAAATTTAAGATAAAGCATGTGGATGTCAAGTCTTCAGTTTTTTTCTCCTTGTTTCTTCAAACACTCCAAGCATGAATTAAAAATGCCCCTTCCCTCCCCCCCCAGTGACAGAAAAATCAATACTCACTGAGACCAGTCAGAGAAGCCAGTGCACTTGACTGTGCCAGCTGTTTTGCAGGAGCTTTGATTCACATCAACAACAGGAACAACATGTTAAAACACATACTGCCATTGCCTCAAAGGCTAGAGAAGGAGGTCACAGATAAAGAAATAGCCACAAGAGCTGTTATTGTTAACAAAAAGAAAAAGAAAAAAAAATGGAGGGAAAAAAAAAAGAGAGGTTAAACTTCTGTCACACAATCCAAGTCAAACAGGTGGAAATGAACCAATCTGTACTAATGCACAGTAACTTCTAGGTGAGTGCTAGTCATTGCTGAGACTTTAGTCAGTCAGACATCCAGCAGGACCTTCAGTACCAAGATGAACATGTGTCCAAATACAATTTGTCTAAAGCATTCTTCGGCTTCCTTCTTCTGATGCATTAGCAGAGAATGGTTGAAAATGCATATCAACGTTTTTGCTGCTCAATCACCTTTCTTAACAAGACATTATCAGATCATTTTATAAGATCCATAACGGATTCTCTCCAGACTTAAATGAGCTGTCTTGGTAACAAGAACAGATGTCGTGATAACTGGAAAAAATAACGTAAGCCGACCTCGAGTGGCTTTTCTGTGAGTCTCCCGGGCCACGTGCAGGATCTCTTCATTAGTGACTGAAAGAAGGATCTCCGTCAGAAGGGTTTTAGTGATGCCCATCTAAAATAAAAAACAATGTTTCAAAGTTGACATTTTTACTACTGGCAAACAGTTTGTGTTGGAAACAGCCAGCACATCTGCTGGTGAAACAAATGCAGAACCCACCAGGAGCTCCTCCTTTAGCTCCTCACTCATTTCTGGTTCACTATCTTCTGCAGGAGGCGACGGACTCCGAACAGGAAATTCTCTTTTAATGGAGATCTTTTCATTTTCGTCATTGTCGTTCCCTTCGTCGTCGCTGTCCTGATTTTAAAAAGGAGGAAGAAACTGAGCTTCAACCAAACACCAAATATGGAGTCAATCAAGCATTCCTTATGAATAAAGCACACTGTGAAAGAAACGTGCACGTGGGAGCTGCTTACAAATTTACTCTTGCGGGGCAAACGAGGCCCATCCCCTTCCTCATCAGCCTTGTGATCTTGCTCATCATCTTCAGCCATTTCTGCACGTTCCTTTTCCATTCGCTCTCGCTCGATCTTTTTCTGCTTCTCCCTGTCCATCTTTTCAAGTCCCTCGCGGATCCAAGCCGGAAGGGTGCGTCGTTTTACAGCATCTAAAAACGTTACAATTAGTGTTTCAAGTACTTAATTCTTTAAGATGTTATATAACTTCTTAATAGGCCTGTTACGATAAACAATAAATCAATTAATCGCAAGATTAATGAAAGTTATCAACCTCATTTTCACTTATCAGCTTTATTGTTTCTTCGTCTCTCTCTTTCTACTGAAGACATTGGATGACAAAAGGCTCAACTCCGGTGCTCTTCACCGACTCCTCCCTTTCTTTTTCTCTAAAATCTGTTTTAACCATTGAAAATCGCGTTTTTGGATCGTTGAAAGCAGCTAAGCTGAGAAGCTAAACTACAAGCTAAGCTAACAGGCCGACCTTGGGAAAAAAACCTCTGTCTTGTCGAAGCTCCAAAATTCACAGTTGAAATCCGTGCCTTTGTGTAAAAAGTTGTTTTTCTCTGCAAAACGAAGCTGAGAATCTGTTTACTGATTTTTTATTAAAAGCTTTGTGTGAAAAATGCTTTGCTAAAGAGCTCAAACCACACTGAGTGTCCGCCATTTTGAGAACAGAAGAAAGGAAGGAGAGACAGCCCAGGTCAAGGGGCCTCCCTCACATTTTTCTTAAGAGACACGCTGCTTGCTCCCTCACTATCCATCCTTCGGATTACTCTAACTCACCAAGAGTTGCTGGGACCTCCAGTTTGACAGGGAGCTGGGGGGGAACAGGGGGGGATCTGGGCCGGTCTCTAAATCCTGGTGGTCTGGTATCTCGTCTGTTCTGTTGGCCCTGCCAGTATGGAGGGTGAAACCCCGTGGTAGGGGCAGGGGGGGTAAAGGTTGAAGTAGCTCCATGCTGTGGAGAGACAGCACAAAGCGAAAGTTAAAAGTGGTTCAAGTTCAAATGGTTTTCCGTTTCTGGCATCACTGGCTGTTCTCTCGCACACGTCAACACTTAATCTGCTACATCTGTCTAAACTAAACAGAATTTAATCAATACCATTCAGTGCCTAAAAGTGCAGACATGCTGCAGCATTTCTGTGCATTTGCTCTGCGTTCCTGCTACCAATCTAATAAATTAAATCTAAATTGGATTATTGAGCATGCATCAGGATACCAATCTAATATTTTTAAACTACAACGCAGCGTAAGTGAGGGAACACTCTGAATCACCAGCTGTAAATTTGAAATACTTTGCAAAACTATGGAAACGACCTGTTATCTTGCGCTAAAATTCAAGCACTGAAATTGGCTGATCCAAATTAAGAAATGAGTCCTTAACAAGCCAAAACCTTGCTGTGCTCAGACTGATTCTCCTAGGTGCTGGAATCCGGCACAGTTTCTGTAGACTGCTGCTTCTTCTTCTGATACTTGGTTGTCACACTAAACCTTAAAAGCTTCAATAGATTCTACTGAAGCATCTGCATACCTGGTAATCAAACTGGTTCATGGCCATGGGGGCCATGGCGTAGCTGTCGGGCTGTGCCCCATACCCATGGCTGTTCTGGGGGTAAACCCCACGGTGGGCTTCAGAGTTGAACTCCACGCTGTCCTGGCTGTTGCTGTCCTCACTGGGAGTCACCACATCCATTGGTGCTGAACTTGGCGGGATCCAGGCTGGTTCAGGGGGTGGAGGAGGGGGAGGGGGAGGGGGCTGACCATGCATCCCCCACTCTGTAAATAAATAATTGAATAAAAACAGCAAAGCAGTGTCAACAGGAAAATGTTATTTCTCAAAATTGTGTCAGTGAATCACTCCATAAATCATGGAGGCTCAAAAGGTCACAAGCCTAATATAAAAACCACAAAACGACACAAAACAAATAAAAATAAAATAAACTCTAGTAAGAGCAAAAATAACAACAAATGTTCGTTAATTTTCAAAACAGTAATGAAAGATTCAGTATGTAACGCTGACCCTGTCTGAAAACAGCACTGCAGCCAGAGCTCCTTTAGTTCCTGCAGAGCTAGAAACTCAAGAGGAAGCTACCAAGATGGCGCTTTGGTCTCCACTCCCCTCAGCTCTGCACAACATGGCACCAGTTAAGGGCCTCCCCACTGTCGGGATCCCCCTCACTCAGCCTGGTTTATGGGACCACCTTGTTCATGGTTCCAAGTAGGGGGTGAATTGACTAGTCGTCTAGTCGCCTCTAGGCCATCTCGCGAGTTTTTAAATTTCACGTTGACTAGTCGCAGTCAGTAATTGTGTCACGTGATCGGCGCCGGCCGCCGACTACAAAACAGATTCTTCCAAGCAGATGGAAGGAGAGGAGCAGGCAAGGTCTTCCCAAACAGATAGAAAGTCATCAACAGTGTGGAAGTATTTCACTAAAGATGATGTTTTTAAGTTTCATTTAATCCACTAAAAAACAAAACAAACAAACAAAAACAGGGGTGCGCTCCACCAGAGAATCCACCACCGCGCAGCACCGCCGGAGGAGATTCCACCACCGCTGCGGTGGCTTATTTTATTTTGTGGATTAAATAAAATAAAAGTAACTTTTGCAGCTTCATAATAGTTTTGGTTTTCCTGTTACTTATTTGCAGTATGATAAATGGTAGGAACATACTCTCCCGATGTTTTGTTGTTCTTTTTTTGTAAATTATAAATTATGTTATTTTGTGTGTGTGTGTGTGTGTGGGGGGGGGGGGGGTTGTTTGCGTCTTGAGCTATGACGTCATCAACTAGTCGACGTCAACTCAACTATTATCGTTAATGTCCACGTTTAAAAATATGTAATCGTTCAACCCGTAGTTCCAAGTGGGCTCTTCCGAGGTGTCGATTTTGACATAAGCTGACCGCAGCCTAGTCATTGGCTAGTAGAGCTACGTCACTGGATGCCCAGCAAAACTGTAAACTACATCTGAGCTGCCACTTCCTCATCATGTTGACAGATGGCATCACAAGAAATGAGCACATTCACAGAGATGATGGCGCACCAGACTTATAAAGAGTGTCAGGATAAGCTAAAGAAACTGAAGTACAATTATAAAGAGATTAAGGTCCACAGCGGGTGGAGAGGCTCGAATACAAAAAGACCCGTTCTGATCCCGTTTAAAAAGTGGGGGAAACAGGTCAGCCTCCACTCCACCTGAGAAGAACCAAGAAGGTGGGAGCTGAGTGGAGCCACACTTATAAATGGCAAAGCAGCATTCGAGAAACAAAATCTGAACTGAAATGTAAACTGCCTGCTGTACCTCAGGAAGACGCCGACTGTGTGAAAAAGCTACCCTGCAAGTCATATTTATATATTTATTTTACTTTTTCTTTAATATGACACTTGTGTTTAAACAAAAACAATATGTTGCAGGGATAATAAAATGAGTAATTGGATTTCAAACAATTAATCATGAACATATGGAGATAAATCTAGTCTTTTTTTTTTGTTTCTGTCAGATGGCAATTAATGGCGTTTCTGTCTTCTAATCAAAACTAAAATGCCATACTCCCTTCAGACGTTTAAAGTTTTCACAATACGTAGATCTGTGTATCCTCACAACATTTCTGGCTAGTATCCTCCTACTTCTCCAAGACACACCCTATCCAATCCTGTAAATTTGGTGCCATTGTTAACTTTAGGGTTTTTTTGTGACAACTTCTGATCAAAGGAGGGTTAACATCTCAGTTGGCTGTTGTGCTAATAACTAATAACAGGTCAGAGAAAACCATCCACCAGAAATGTAAAAACAAAAAAACCTGACTTCTATAACTGAATACATTTCACTTCACTATGATGGGAAGGAACGCATCTTTAACTTAAGAAAACAAGTCTAGTGGTTTTATTATTTCCACCATGTCCTGAATGACTGAAAATTAACACCAGCATATTGTCAGGGAAAAGACCCTACAGATATGTCTAAGGAGAGCTTCCGCTGTTAAAAAACACTTCTCTTTTACCTGGCTGCCACATTCTTCCAAACGCTGGGTCACCCGGGAAAGCACTGTGGTTAACTGGTGCAGCGGAGTCCTGGCCTGGGACGTCCTGGCCTGGGACGTCCTTGCTTGGGATGTCCTTGCCATTGGGCTGAACGGTGGGTTGTTGAGCTCCTGTTGACTCCTTCTGAGCTATCCAAGCCTGAGCAAGAGCTGCCCAGTCCACTTGACCTGAACCACAGGAACACATCCAAATGTAACCATGTATGCCCTTTTCAACGCAACCGTGAAACCTGTTGGAGCTAATCTGTTTTGTCTGAAGTGCTTTTAATGAGCAAATGCATCCTTCTTTACCAGGATCATGCTGATGTTGGAAAGACTGCATCCACTGCTGCTGGCTCAGAGGCCACTGCGGCCACTGCTGTCCTCCCTGGTCCCACATCACTCGGCTCACAAACACACCTGAAGTATCCAAGCAGAACAGACCTAAATTTAGTTGGCACGACGGACAGGGCTGCAGTCCATGCAATACAAAGTACCTGACTGGTGGAGAGATAAACGAGCTCCAGCCTACAGGAGAGCTAACCTTTTTCGCTCAGTTAGCTTAAATCTAGAGACTTCTCCAGCTAACTGAGACATTTTATTTTTGTAATGGTGGATACAGACGTTTTGTTGCATATGATCTTGTGCCAGGCTGACGTATGAGACCAAAAATAAATTCTGGGTTGAAATGTCAACCTCCCAGGAAGCTAAACATCACGAGCTACGCGTTCACTAGCTAACGTTAGCTAATGTTAGCCAAGATCCGCATACAGCTCGCTGGTAGCAGTGCGATTTTCTCCAATATGTCACAAATGTGGCTTTGCATTTACAGTAACAGATACCGAAAACAGATGGGCAAGATTGAACATGTAGATTGTGTTTTAAGCTACACAGTCCCAACCTTATGAATTCAATTTCTCTCCGTCGGTGCGGCTGCAAATCAAAATGGCTGCAGTGGAGGACAGGGAGAGGAAGAATGAAGCCAAGCGGCGCTGCGTTCACGTACTGCTGGGAATTTTAGCTTATGGGTTGAAGTTAACGAAACAAAACAAAAAAAGAGATAAAAATGCATCTTTTTTAATTATTTGCTCACTTGAAATTATATTTAAATCCAAATTACGTAGCGTTCCAACTTAAAGGTGACAAATGGGGCTTTAGACAATTTTAAAATGTTGTAGCAGTGCCAAAAAACCTGTACGTTCTAAGATAACCTGTTTCAGAGTCAAAACTGTAACTTCAACAAAATTGCTAGGCAAGCTCACGTGACGCTACTATACAAATCTTTAAAGTTTTAAATCTTAGTAGTGGATACAATAAATTATATCTTTTACTTTTAACGATTTGTTCTGTCAAAAAGAGACGAACGAGCCGCACTTAAAAGCATCACAAGCAGAGACTCGGGTCAGATTGAGATATTTAAATATTTACACACACACATATATGTATATATATATATATATATATATATATAT